GGCGCGGGCGCAGCAGGCCGAGCAGCAGGCCCCGGGCGCCGGAGCCGCCGGCCGGGCACTCGCTCCGCGGCCGGGCCTGGGCGCTGTGCAAGTCCAACGAGTCGCAGAGGCTGAGCGCGCGGCGGCAGGCGGAGGGCCGCTCCCCTGGGCAGCTGTCAGGCGGCGGCCAGCCGCGCTCCATGCTCAGGGCCTGGGAAGGGCGGCCAGGCCCATGGCAAAGGGCAGGGCGCGGGGCTCTGCCCAGGCTAGGCCACGGCCGGCGCGCGCGGATCTCTGGGCTCTCGGGGCTCCGGGGCGTCTGGCCGGCGGAGCCCCTCCGCTCCTCCACCTCTCTGCGGCAAGCCCAGACCTGGAGCGGCCGGGAGCCAGCCCAGGAAGGAGAGAGAGGTGGCAAGCCTGGTCTGGAACACCTTGGAACGGTGGCTGGGGAGTCAGCCAGCCAGCCAGCCAGCCAGCCGGCCGGGGCAGCCCCCGGAGCCCTCAGAAAACAGGAAATTCCAGCCCGGAGCTCCTCCTAAGACTGGGGCAAGTAGGTGAGGAGCTGTCATTAGGGGCAGGTCCAATAAAGAACCATCCTCCGGGACACCACACACTAGGCCCTGACTTTGGAGAAAGTGGAAGAACAGCTAGAAGGTGACGTGTGAAGGCAGGAATCCCTGATGAGTTTCGAGGAATTTTGGGAAGGACCCCAGAAGTGTGCTTTACAGGATACTTCTCACAGGCCTCCTGAGCAGTTGAGTTTGCTTCCCACATCCAGCCCATTCAGGAAGCAGGCCCCCTTGCTATCTATGGCCCTCAGTCTCCTCATCTGTAAAAAGGGGTGCCTGACTGAGGGGAGGGTGTCCCACCTTAGATAATCATCTGCTCAGCCACTGTGAGAAATGGAAACTTGCCAAGACAGAGAGCTACTTGATTGGACCTCAGGCTGCAGCTAATGACAGGCATCTTTTCCTTTGGAGATGATAAAAGATACACATCTGTCTGGCCTGGGCTAAGCGTCCTGCCAAAGGGCAGGAGAAAAACCCAAAGATAACATGCACAACTGGACCAACCAACAGCTGTGATGAATACTCATTTCTGAGTCCCGAGTCCATGGTTTCTGGCTGGTTCCGGGGCCTGACCTGTCAGTTACACCGGGCACTCCGGCCACGTCCACAGCCCACCCCAGGATGGGGCGGGAAACCCCATGCTTGACCGACACACGGCATTTGGAAGGAACATCAGTCATCTCCAGAGGCCCTCATAATTCACAGACTGAGAAGTCATCACACTCCCCTCATCCCTAGAAGCCGAGCAGGAGGAACCAATTTGGGGAGTGGCAGAGGGATGAGGGGGCTTGCATTTCCTTTCCAGGATCTATACTCACATAAGGCTTCCTCTTCTAATCAAACCCAGTACCGGGGTCCTGAAAGCTTTAGAATTCCTGCTCCAGGTCAGAAGCTAACTGCTATCAGAGTGGCACATTCTTGAGGGGGTTGGGGTAGGAGAATACTTAAAGAAGGCTGGGCCTCCCTCTCCACTGAGGTAGGCAGCAGAAGTGAGGGTTGGAAACCCACAAGTCCTGGGCTGGATCTCATGGGCCTGGAGAAACCCTGGGGTCAACTTCATATATTTTCTGGGACTAGTTAATAATAGTGGTGAGGTCACTTTTCTCATTCTCTGGGATAGATATTCCCCACATAAGAAATAGTTCAGAAAAAAAAAAAAGAAAAAAAGAAATAGTTCAGTAGACGGGTCCTTGGGTAGGCATGAAGACAAGAGTACGCTCCCGGCCTCTGCTGACCAGCTTCATTAAGCTGCAGGTAAGGAAATGGTCTTTGCCTTGACCTCCCGTCTTTATATACGCCTGCCTAATTGCACTCTCTTACACACACACACCACACACACACACACACCCATCTGGGGGAAAAGCAGGCTGCAGTACACAGGCGTGGAGGTGAGAAAACTACTCTCTCAGGGGCCATACTCAGCATCAATCCGGGCACAAAGCTCAGCAGGGGTCAGTTCCCAAACTTGAAGAGCTTCCTCTTCTTCCTACCCACGCCTCCAAACCTTTTCTGTCCTGGAGGATCAACACAAGTGACATAAAGCCAGGCAGAGACCCCCGCAGAAGAAAAGCACAAACCTATTTCCTCCTTTGGCATCAGTCCCACGTGAGCGACTACGTTTGGGGGCTCTTTTCTGGCTACAGTTCCAAATCCCGCACTGCCAGGCTGTAGGGCACAGCCCTTTCTACACTCTCAGGCTTGTCCACAGAGGGCTTGAGCTGCCAGCAGCAGCAACACAGCAATTAACCTCTGAATTCTATCCCCCAACCTACTCCATGCCCAGCATGCGTCATCGTAATAAATGGCTCATTGTCAACTACTTAGTAGCTCAGGCCAAAACCCTAGGAGGCAGCTTTCTAGTCTATAATCGCTGCAGTCTCTCCGCTCCCCCACCTCCAGCCTACACATTAGCCCTGTTGGCTTCATCTCCTAAACGTATCCCAAGCCCCTCTCTTCCTCCCCAAGAGGAGGCACACCTTCCCCTGCCTGACTGCTTTATTGATTTCCTGGCAGGCTCTCCGCTTCCATCCCTCCTCACCCAGACTACCAGCAATCTGTCATTTTTCCAACAGCGACTTTAAAACCACAATCAGCTTCTCCCTTCCCAGCCAAAGCCCTCTAGTGGCTTCTAGTGGATGCAGAGTTACATCCCAGCTCCTTATTCTATGATGCTTCCCGCCATCTCGGCTCCACAACCCACTGCCATCTGCTGGTCCAGCTGCAAGCAGGTCAAGCTACTGCCTGCCCCCCGCCCCACCCTCCAACCCCCACATTTGTCTGCCCTCTGACACCACTCAGACCCTAACAGCCTCGGCACCGCCCGCCCATGTGAGGCCAGTGCTCAGGTCGCCAGGGTCACAGATGGCCTCTACCCTGTCGGCTGTGTGACCGGCAGCTACTTCCCAAGTCTCACGGGTTCCTGTTGGAGGCACCCCTCCCAGCCACAGTGGCGACAGGGTGAGCACTGGGACCATCAGGGCCGCACAGTG